GAATGTTACACAATTAAGCACACAAAACAAATTAGAAATAGCTTGGTAGCGATCACCTCATTTCCAAGGGTTATTATCATACATAAATTCATCACGAGAACGTCATCAATGTAGTCGAAGTCAGTTAAGTAAGCGTTATGGATAACTTAAAAATATATGGAACCACATGAGAAGCACTAGCTTTCAAATAAAAAAAGAATAATAAAAATCGGTTCACCTAAAAAAAGTTATGAGGTAACACACATTATAAAATACAGTCGAATTGAGAACCTCCTCCTTTTTTCAAGTCGGTTGAAAACCGCTTACAGCTCATATATACATTTTATAAATCTGTAGAAAAATCGTGTCTGTAATAATTAATAATTTAAAGCGATCACGCTGATGTACTTGTATCACTCCATAACACAAAAGTGAATGAAAATCAGATTTTAAATCTATTAAATCTGTTGACTCTCGACAGCTTCCCTCCTATATAACGTTTTACCGCGGAGTGACGCCGGCAATTCTATCACAATGGTCCTGTCGCCCACGTCACGGCTGACCGCAAAAAACTTTGTCCTACGTGTTACATGTCGTGTACTTGACAGCTAGTGGTTTCACCATTACGTTATATTAAACAGCGAATTAAGAAGCTAAATTAAACTATCATCATTGTGCACCCTCTTTTGGGTTGTCCTAAAGAAGCTGCTATGCGTATAGCAATAAGACCGCCTTTTGATTTCCCTCTGCATTTGCATATTTTTGTTGTGTTAATCTTTACTGAGATTTACACAAATATAATGTATGGTTGAATTGTTCCTCCTAAATACTTTCTACAAAAAAGTCAGAGACAATATATATCTACATTTTATGTGTAAGCCATTATTACCAAAATAGTGAACCATAAATACAAAAAATTTGATACTTAATTTTCAATGCACGTTTTGCAGTAAAAAGTAGATTTCATCAAAATAAATACTTTGATCGCTTCTGATTTTCAAAGTAGATAAGCTTTGTCTTTTAATCTACGTAATTTGGTCAAATATTTTAAAAGTAACGACGATTTAAAATTGTGCGGTCCGGAGCGCGCAGGGCGGTCGGGGTACTGCGGGCGAGACGACGGCAAAATATCGCTCATGCTTATCGCCGCGTGAGCAAGTATACCTCTTCACGCTTAAACCACTGAACCGATTCATATGAAATTTAGTATCGAGATGGTTTAAGTCCCGGGGAAGGAAATAGGATAGCTTTGATCACGGAAATCATCCCTAAAGAGGGTGATGAATTTTACTGATGAATCACCTATGGCTTAAAATACAATATCTACACGGACGAAGTCACGGGCAAAAGTTAGTACATAATATGTAATACCTAAATAACGGTAAAACGGTTTGCAGCAAACAATTTGCTTTTAGATGCAGGAGTAACAACGTGTTTATATGTAGTTTACTGTCCATTCGCCGTAGAACGCTGTCATTAATTTCATCATCATCATATATTTTTAATGAGTCAAATAGATCCGAATTTGGGATCTTTTTAAAACTTTAAAAATTCACAACTCCGAAAATATTAAGTTTATCGCAAAAAGTCATAGAATCTTTTTTATTCCTATTATATATAAAATATGAAAAAAAAAAATTATCCCGTTTTAAATAGTACATTACGATACAAGGAGTAGCCGATTATTCAACGGTGTGAAGTTAGCGCACGAGCGAAATGAGTGCACTAACTTTACACGTTTTAACCTACTATCGTACATTATTTTATAGTATAAGTGATTTAAATCCACTGTTTTAATTGAAAAATTGTAGAATACTAAATTATTATAAAGTCATAAATATATTAAATTAAGTAGATATTGGCAATTATAAAAGGTTAACGTTGTTTTTAAAGAAAAAAATCTACAGGATATAAATCTAAACATCTCAAGTATTTTCGTAGCATCTGTTCCAACTCCATATACATCAATAGAATCAGGCGTTACTTTGCGGAAATCCATTACATAAAAGCTTTTAGAAAAATTTACTTCGCAAACATCCGCGTTATAAAATAAAATTATGTCTTACCTAGTATGAAGAGCACCTCCCGCCCTCCCTCAATTGCGTGCACTGTCCCCGTCACCACTAATCCCAGCACCGCTACTCCCAACACCACTACACTAGGCAAGACACACCACTGACGATAATACGACACGTGTTTCGCCTCTACACGAGGCATCCTCAGGTGATATAGAGTCTACGGTGGCTAACCGCTAAGCGACATATACATCATCTACGAGTATCAGTCAATGTTCATTTGCTCAAATTAAAAAAAAACATTATTTGAATTAATTAACGATGCCATTCGAAATGCACTTGTCTCTATAAATGCTCCCTCGGTTTTAGAGCCTTGTGGAATATTTAGAGACGATGGCAGGAGACCCGACGGTATGACGTTGGTCCCTTAGGAGAGAGGTATAGCTAGTGTGGGATGCTACTTGCGTAGACACTCTGGCGGCCTCTCATCTCAGGCGTACCTCGCTTAGAGTCGGGGCGGCATCAGAGGTAGCTGAACTGAGTAAGTGGCGCAAATATGAGTCTCTGAGAAATGACTACATATTTGTGCCATTTGCTGTATAAACTTAAGTAAAACATACCGACAATAATCAGCTAGTTAAGTCGTGCATGAGCGAGACTTAAGTCATCTTGTACTATAAATAACTATACCTTGCAATTGAAAAAAAAAAGGGTTTTAACAATATGGCACCGAGTTGCCCCATGGCAACATGTATTTATATCATCAGTAGGACAATTTGAAGAGAATCGAATAAAAAATTTGAGATGGAATAGTTTTCGGTACTCATGCGCCGATTCCTCCTGGACTAAATAAATATACACGGTTATTTTGCAATAACAGGCCAAATTTGCAGAGAAGGTTCAGGAATAACTAATATGCAAATGCGAATGGTGAACAAATATTAATTAAAAATAATCTCAAACATTATGTCCATTTTATTTTGTAATTCAAAATGCGTGGTAATGCATTATTTTATCTCATTTTAATGCGCACGCACACATTCGTAAGGGTCAAGTGAAAAGGGAAAGAGGGTTAATGGCCATAAATCACATACAATTTGGGATAATTTGAAATAAAAGTAAAAGCCTTATTGAGTAATATTTTCAAAAACTGCAATAATGGTATATCATTATTTATATATTTGAACTTAAGTTTAACACTTGGCTACTCTTTGAAAAATAAACCTGTATATTAATATTTTTAAATGTAGATTTTGACAATATGCAGATAGACGATAAGATTGAAGTGAACGAAGAAATTAAATGTATGAGTTTGCTCAAATTTCCGTTTCGGCTGGCACCTTACCTAAAGAATGCGAATTCCAGATATACTCACTGCTAGATTAAAGATAACATGTAAAGCTTAAATGCTATCATAAATAGCGGTGCTATGTTAAAAGAGTTAACATAACATAGCAGGTCGCCTCTAACTGGGAGGTGTGAGTGCGGAGAAGGGGCAATGAGGGAGGCTGTATTTGCCGCGGGACAAATTGCCTGTCCGAAGCACTCACCTGCCCGGGACGATTATTGTCCGGGTTGCTCCTAGCTTTGATTTTTGCTTGACAGGATTTTAAATCAATCCCGGACACAAGTTTGGGACCACGTTGGGACTTGTAAAGTTATAATGGGAAAATTGTATTTTTATTTAATATAATATATAAATATAACGCATGTGTGGCCTCATTTATTTGAAGTTTATTGCAATTATGGACAATTATGGACTGGTCGTTTAAGGAAGCTCAAGGTTGCTCAGCGAGCTATGGAGAGGGCTATGCTCAGGGTTTCTCTGCGTGATAAACTTAGAAATGAGGATATCCGCAGTAGAACCAGAGTGACCGATATAGCTCAACGGATTAGCAAGCTGAAGTGGCAATGGGCCGGCCATATAGCTCGAAGAACCGACAACCGATGGGGAATAAAGGTTCTCGAGTGGCAGCCTCGTACCGGTAGGCGAAGTGTAGGGCGACCCCCCTAGATGAAGTGACGACCTGGTAAGACATCGACAGTCGATGGATGCAGGTGCCTCAGGACCGTGCTTTGTGGCATTCCTTAGGAAAGGCCAATGTTCAGCAGTGGACCTGTGAAGGGCTGTAATGATGACGATGATTCTGTGAGAGCGTGGTCCTTCCCCGGCCTAGCAGTGGCTTTACCACGTAAGAGTATTTACTTTAGTCGAACCTAGCCCTGACTTACAATAACTTCTAAATAAAATATGTTTATACGAATATTTAAGACCTTTTAGTGGTGGCATAAGTAATCCATCACCCCATTCCGTTCCATGGGTATCGTAAGATTTGATTATGGAGGAAAATGCTAGAAATATCTGATGGTTTTTAATAGATGGTGGTATAACCAAAGACTTCTATTTAAACTATAAATGGTGGCACGAAAGTCTAGTCGTGAACGTTATTGCGCAAGTAGTAGTCGAAAATAAGGTATCATGGGGTAGTAGGCCGATCGCGGGGCGGACGTACGTCGTTCGCACGCGCTGATTGCATCGCGTTCGTGTAATTCAATTCGTGCGCGACAGTACCCATTCGCAACTATCCCCTCCACGTTTCGTTTAGCGCTAGACTTACGTGCCGCGACTTGTACTAGACCGTCAATTCAGAACAAAAACTTTGTCATATCTGTGGATCGCGCGGGCGTGTAGCTGGCACGGTAAATATACCACGCATTTATACTTTCATTTACGACAGTTACTGTTTTTAGGCAAATACTAAATAAAGTTACTTACCTGAAATAAACTTCCAATTCTTTGTCACATTAAACAAAATCAGTTTTAGATTGTAGAAAACAACGTTCGCGGTTAACAAAACAAAGAACTAGTCTTCTCGCCCGCCCGCAGTCGACTAAAATAGTTACAGACAATTGACCGTAAGTTAGTGCGCAATGTATTAGTAACATATCGCCTGTCTAGTATACATATACCATTCACGTACCTTAATATTTATTAGTGTTACTTACGGATCACTGGCGCGTCTCTTCATTGGCTCCATAGGGTGATGCTGCGCGAAGATTTCATTTCCATCTCCGCCCGACTCTAGGACCAGATGTTCGTGACTTCTGATGTACTGGAGCGGTGTCTGCGATATATTTTCAAATTATTAATTTCTAGTTTTGGTTTTCTTAAGTTTCAATTTATCATAGGGTTTAAGAAACAATGACGCAAGCATTTTAAACTATTAAAGTTTCAAGCAAAACAAATAAATTAAACGTGATAATATTCATGGAAGATAGTCTCTATCATTCAATGAGTAGTATTCTTGTAAAAATATGAAAAGTTCAATTAATATAAATATTTAAGTTTAATTATATACAATATTAAAAACTATAATAATAAAAAAAAACTAAAACTATAATATAAATTAATAATGTTTTGTGACAGAAATTCTACTCATAGCTATTATTAGTACTACACATTGAGTTATATTATGTACTACGTACTAGAGAAGCCATTCCGAACATTGACTATGTTCAACTGAACTGTAGTGCAACCCATACAAACTAAATATTGCGTAAATTGAAGTTTTGTGAATTCCATAAAATAATTATTATTACATTTTATTTAGAAATAGGTTTGTTTAGATTAAATTAAGATATTTTATATTAAATTCTTATATTAATTTTATATTAACATCTTATTTTATATTAAATTAAAGTCTTCGCGCAAGCGCGACTACTACTCCCGCGCATGCGCGAAGACATAGAGTAGGACACAATTTTTGTTTGGAATGGCTTCTCTAGTACGTAGTACATATAACTCAATGGTACTACATATATTTTACGTATTGTCAGTTTAGAAAAAGAATAAAAATAATGTGCATAAAAATATTATTACTTCGGTTTCTATTGGCTGATTTTACAAATTGTTACAAAAAAAAACTATAATCGCTTTTCGTTGCAATAAATTGAAAATTAAAAAGATAAAACTGTACTTTTGGAAAGAGGTTCCTTATCGCACTGTACGAATTTGGCGGATGGGGGCTAGGCGAGAAAAAGTGTAAGACTTTTCCGTCACGACCCTTTCTATAGTGCGAGCGAGACGGAATAATATCCATCTCCCTCGCACTTTTTCTTATCTTGCCATGAAAGAAATATTATTTTAAATGCCGCTTTATTTTAAAAGACGCTAGTACATAAGTAATTCATTCCTTTGTATTTGTTGATCAATAATAATATAATAAGTTTATCAATAATAATATACTATGAACTTCGTTGCAACCGAGTGTTCCACGATACTCGCACATGTTTTTTATTATCATCTTTTGCATTAGCTAAAATATTAGGTATTTGAATTTATTTATGGGTTTTTACAAGGCGTTAGAAGTAAAAAGAAAGAAAATGTGTTCTTTTTGCATTAATCGTACCTGCTTGGCTCTCCTAGCACGAGCATGCAAGTCCCTTTGTGCAAGAGGCAGCAAAGCACGAAGAAATCCGGGCACAGAAGCTCGGAGAGGATAATTTGTACACTCTTGTACTCCAGCTTGGAACTCTTCGATGCTCATAGTGCCAGCCTATTGAAAACAGAAAATATTAGAAAAATAAGTCGCTTATATGTATTCGCCTTAAACTTTAAAATTACATAATGGATTTTGATGGATTTCATCATCATCATCATCATTACAGGCTATCACAAATCCACTGCTAAACATAAGCCTACCTCAAGGAATATCGCAAAACACGGTCCTGAGTCACTTGCATCCATCGACTTCCTGAATCTCTGACCAGGTCGTCACTCCATCTACCCTTTAACTTCGCTTACTGGTTCGAAGTTGTCACTCGAGAACCTTTCTTTAAAGTATTAACACAAACATTTAATATAAAATTGTAAAAAATCTATAAGGAAATTTTGTTAAATTAATCCTACAATATATAAGTTTGGGCTGCACGGACTTTCATGTAAGAAAAGTGCTGGTAGGTTTTCACAGCACGGTTCTTAGAACGATGTCATCCGAAGGGCTCTTGTCTCTATAAATGCTCCCTCGGTTTTAGAGCCGTATGGAATATTTAGAGACGATGGTAAGAGATCCGACTGTATGACATCATGGGATGCTACTTGCGTAGACACTTTGGCGGCCTCTCATCTCAGGGGTACCTTGTTTAGAGCCGGGGCGGCATCAGAGGCAGCTGAACTGAGTAAGTGGCGCATATATGAGTTTCTGAGAGGTGACTACATATTTGTGCCATTTGCTGTAGAGACTTTCGGTCCGTGGGGTCGACCAGCCGCGGATGGTGATAAGAGGTGTTGCTGCTGGTGATAAGAGGGCTGGTTCTTTTCTCGCTCAAAGGCTAAGTATAGCCATTCAGCGAGGAAACGTAGCCAGCGTTCTTGGCACCGCAGAATGTAGGACTGTACGAGAATTAAGTTACTAGTTTTAGTTTTTTTTTTAATATATAATTTTTAATATTGTATATAATAAAATATCGTATATTATGTTATGATCTCAATTAATTTAATATAAAATAGGAGAACATGGGTTTACATGGGTCCCCATGGTATAGGTATTAGTAGTAATTCTTTCTTTTTAATTGTTGGCCCGTAAAATTCAACTTATTTTTATAGAATAAGATTCAGAAACGAGCACACAGTTCAACTTATAGTAAGCGTGTCATAATATTGTAATCTGTCGTATACACACATAGTATATCTGTAATACTCTCGCCCATAGATATCCACATATATCCGCAATTAAGAATTATAATGCAGATGCGTTGTCACCACTGAGATGGAACGCCTCGTTTCCAGTAAAATGGGTCTCCGGTTCTCTGCACTCACCATACGAAAAACAGCAGCATTAAGCTGCTATTTTACGCTGGTAGTCTGTCAGCATGCGGTTCTACCTGGTCGAGTCAACCCATTCGTGCTACAACTATAACATAGCTGCAGCGTGGCTCTACCACGTATAAACTGAATTAACTGCTGAACATGGGCTTTTCCTGTTGAAGAATTCCCGCAAGCGGATTGACTTTTCGATTCTTAAATGAGAATAGGTGTAGATGTCTATGGGCCACAGCATCCACTAACCATCGGGTGGACTGTGTGGCCGTTTGTCACTTTTATTCTATAAAAAAATTGACGTTAGAAGTTTTGCACCTTAGGCTCTAAACTCACTTACAATAACTTATAAAATCTTCTTACCACCAAGTTGAAGATAAGTTGTCGAACTCTCTCTCCAGTGTCAGCACTTCCCTCGGGAGCAAACTGTTGCAATGCTGAGAGGAACCGGCGGAGGCGCTGAAGCGCTGGAGCAGTCTTCGAGCCATCTGGCAGTGGAGGAGATAGGGACTCCGTCGAAGATAGGTTGGCTAAAGAAAAACCAAACATACGGGCATGTTCATAACCGTCCCCAAAAATGAAACGTCTAATATTTTAATTTTTACGAGTAAGTTATTACAAATATTGTACAAGTCGCGGCACGTAAGTCCACCGCTGAACGAAACGTGCAGGGGACGCGCACGAATTGAATTACACGATTGCGACTGGAGAGCCAGTCAGCGCGTGCGAACGACACGCACGAGCCAAACAGCGGTACTTATGCGCAATAACGGTCACCGCTAGACTTTCGTGCCGGTACTTATAACTGGCTAAAATCTACGCTGTTTTCAGTCCTCTGACTTTGAGCTTAGTTTTTAGTGAGTCTACTAATTAAAAATTAACTATTAAAGACCGTTAAGAAATAGGACTTTTTATAAAACAACTAGCTACAAGTCGCGGCACGTAAGTCCACCGCTGAACGAAATGTGCAGGGGACGCGCACGAATTGAACTACACGATTGCGTCTGGAGAGCCAGTCAGCGCGTGCGAACGATACGCACGAGCCAATCAGCGCTACTTATGCGCAATAACGGTCACCGCTAGACTTTCGTGCCGCTACTTATATTGTATTAAAAGTATTAGTGGCGGTGTAAGAATATCCACTACCCCATATCATAATCGCGTTGGTGTATTGAAAGGCGACAGAGGGAAACACATCAGGAGATGGGCAGCAGCGTCTTTCAAATTATGACTAAAAATAAAAAATCTTATCAAGCGTGGCAACTAATTAATAGGTTTTAGTGGTCTTATTAGCATGCAACTGCAGCACAAATAGGTCGGGTTGATGGGCCAAGTAACCCCCTCAGCGCAATAATAATAATATATCTTTATTTCGGATAACAAATGAGATCCACATCAGAGAAGTTAGAAAAATCACAAAATATTAATAAAAATACAGCTAGGTGGACGGAGAAGGCAAACACACACACACACACACACACACACACGCGCACCCGCGCGCGCTTGTACGCACGCACACGCACACGCACACAAACTCGGAAGTAGTCAGCGAGCCAGTAGGCTCCAGTCCGCCGCAAAAATATAATATTTCATATTTTCTTAAGTTTTGTTAGTAGACTATCTATCTATATATTATTGTGGTGGTGAAATAAATATAATTTTCATTTCATTTCATTTCTCTCCCAAGGGACCAACGTCATACCGTCGGGTTTCCTGCCATCGTCTCTAAATATTCCACAAGCCTATAAAACCGAGGGAACATTTATAGAGACAAGAGCCCTTCGGATGGCATCGTTAATTAATTCAAATAATGCACACGCACAATAGAAATAGAAATAGATTTTTTTTTAAATTTAATACATATTTAAAATAATACTTATGTATTGAAAGTCTCTCTTTATATTTAATATACCACTGCACTGGTTCGACAAATACAAATCCCGGGAACAACCAGTAAGAAATCCAGCGTGATATTTTTTTTTTAAATAGTCTATAAAACAAGTTAGAAATAGCTTGGTAGCGATCACCTCATTCCTAGGATTTATTATCATCCATAAAATATATGAGGCATTTATTTCGTAATATCGAACACATGCACTTTAATTATACTTATATGTAGATTATGGTTATGATTACATACCAGCTGTACCGTTGTTCTGTGGGCTGGGTGGTCCAGGAGTTGGAGACACTCTGCTCTCCTCCTGTTCCGGTGACCGCCTTTCCTTACCGCTGGCGGTAGCTGTAACAAAAATCGTACTTTACTAAGCTTTTATCAATTCGCTTTCTTTTCTGTTCGGTATAAACTTTGCAGTTGATTTTAAACTAATTATCCGATGTCTTTAAACTTTAAATATAGCTTACAGCTGAATAACAATGCAATATAAACTCACTCTCCTGTATGTCTGTTTGTTTGTTTGCCTATTCGATACAAATTTAGCAACTGATTTTAAGTTAACTTCTCGATGAGTTAGAGATTTGAAACTTCAAATATAGCTCACGAATAGAAACATGGTAAAAATAATTGCCATTTTGAATTATAATTTTTAGAAATAAGCAGTTAATCCAAGACAGACCCCACATCAACAGCCCTATAAGCCCGATTCCTACATTCAAGAAAATCTTCGTTCACGGTAACGATCTGTATCTAATATATACAACATGTAAAAATACCCCTGTGGTTCCCGTTAATAAAAATTGGATATGACTATTATGGAATCAAGATTATGTAAAAATGTAATGTGTTTTTTATTAGTTGATATATCTTTTTAATAAAAAGTAGGTAGCTCCTAAAAACCGCACAAATAACGACTAGCGCGACATTTTGCTCAACCATGCGCCTTAAGTTTGTTATCAAAATCCGTATTGAGATGAAAATTTTATTTCAGAAAAGAAATTATTAAGTGAGGACTAAGATGGAATGCCTCTTTGCCAGTGAAAAGGGTCTCCGGTTCTCTACACTCACCATACGAAACACAGCAGTGTTGAGCTGCTATTTTACGCTGGTTTTTTGTAAGAGCGTGGTCCTTCCCCGGTCGAGCCGACCCATTCGTGCTACAACCATAATATAGCTGCAGCATGGCTCTACCACATAGAGCCATGCTGCAGCTATATTGTCTTTACACTCACCATGCGAAATTAACTGCTAACTTGCCTTGGTATTCTGTGTGGCCCTCCTCTTTGATTACGAATGGGTCGTACTACAACCATAATATAGTTACAGCGTGGCTTCAACACTGTTTAGTAATTTTGTATATTATTATTTGTGTTGTCGATAATATAGAAATTCTTTCATGAATAAATATTATATTATTGTATTATAGCTGTTCCCGACGACTCCGCTCGCGTTTTATTTGGGGGTTTTAATTTTTTTGCTCGGAACCCTAATTCTTTTTCTAGTAAAAGTAGCCTAAGTTACTCCTTGTGATATCAGCTATCTGTCAGTAAAATCCCGTCAACATCGGTCCAGCCGTTTCTGAGATTAGCCGGAACAAACAGACAGACAGCCGGACAGACAGACAGACAAAAACTTTAAAATTTGTATTTTTGTTATTAGTGCCGTATATACTTACCGTATATACTTTCATATACATTTAGTAAAACACTTCAATTTTATTTATTTGTATAGATAATACATTTTGACGTTGTTAACATATTTTAACAAGCCTAAATTCTCAGATGTATGAAATAACTCTAAAACTAAATTGAATAAAAGTGTTGAGATTGACTTTGAATTATTTCACGAGAAAAACTTTCCTTTAGAAAATATTTCATTTCTCTTGCTTCTAGATCGCATTCAAACGAAGATCGTATGAGCAGGGTACTGTATGCTCCGGCACGGAATCCATCGCAGCTCGTTTGCTTAGTACACTGCCTTGGTTAATGGATGATTGGGCCACGAGAACAGCGGGAATATACGCCAATAATTATTATCTTGTATGAGTGCATATATTTGTAAAAATATAAAATGTAAAGCATACTTATTAGAGGTTAGGGACACAGTAGTTACATACATTTTGCTAATTTGACATTTTACACTTGTGTCCGGAGTGCGCTCGACGGTGAATATGTGCGAGATATATGTGGGAATGTACGATGTTGTTGGCTAATAATGTACTAGTTACTAATGCCTTATAACCTCGCAATATGACTCAAAGAAGATGTCTAAGGTGCCTATCGGGTTCAGTAATTAAAATCTCAAAAGTGACTGGTGTTGCATTCAGAAATTACAATTTACAGGTTAAGCTATATGTTACGGTCGATACAATATATTTCCTACTTGGTAGCGGCCTAGCGTGGGCTGTGACGGGGAACGATTGGCGTTCGCCGTCGAGCGCACTCCGGACACAAGTGTAAAATGTCAAATCAGTAAAATGTATGTAATTACTGTGTCCCTACAGAGGTTAATAGATGGTTGGGCCATTAGAAGAGCGGGAATAATTATACGCCACAAAACATTATCTTGTATGAGTGTATGATATCTTTTTTTTTTTAGAAACGTTACCTCCACACTAAGATTTCTCCTATATCGTGGGAGCAGTTTACATACATAAATTTCACAAGGACAAGCATCCAGACATGAAAAAATTATTTGTAGACCATACAAATACTTGTTCCGTGCAGGATTCGAACCCGTGGCACTTGGCGCTGCAACTTATTGCTAAGCCACTGCGCCACGGAGCCGATGATATATGTTTGTACAAAATATAAAATACCAGTGGACACCAGTTCGCTAGGTGCCCACTGGTGTTGTTCTTTCTATCACCTCTTAAACTACTACTAATATTATACGTGGTAGAGCCATGCTGCAGCTATATTATGGTTGTAGCACGAGTGGGTCGGCTCGACCGGGGAAGGAACACGCTCTCACAGAATACCAGCGTAAAATAGCTGCTTAACGCAGCTGTGTTTCGTATGGTGAGTGCAGAGAACCGGAGACCCTTTTTACTGGAAACGAGGCATTCCATCTTAATCCTCACGGGTGACAACGCATCTGCATTTTGATTCTTAATCGAAGATAGATGTAGATGTCTATGGGCCACAGCAACCACTTACCATCAGGTGGACTGTGTGCTCGTTTGTCACCCTTATCCTATAAAAAAAAAACAAATTCCTCTACGGAATCACCGAAACCTCGTGGATTACCAATTTTTTTGTCTTGTTTGGATTCTTACTAATAATTAGTTACTAATATTAAACTTATTAGTTAGGTATTTGTTATGTATACTTCTAAAATTCTTTTATTTTTCTAAAAATGATAGACTACAAACTACTATTTGGCACAATCCTGATACACCTCTCACGTTTCTTTCATATCCATATACCTACGCATACATGCTTTTCGGTTACGGGTACTCTTAACTTGGCTCATCTACAATATATCGTCAATTTGGTCAATAAACTTCCGTCTAAAATGTCCCTTTCCCACTCTGATACTCACTTCTGAAGCATAATTTTTTTTGTCTCTCTTTTCTCTCAAATAAAAAAGCCACTGCAGAGTCTACTTCACGTGATGAAACAGAAACGGAAATAGAAAATAAACTTTTTTATTCAATATAGATTATGAATAATACTTATTGAAAATCACTCTTTTGTTTAATTACCACTGGTTCGAAAAAAAACCTCTGTCCTGGGAAGAACCAGCAAGAAACCCAGCGGGACTTTTTTTTAAAATAACACCTGACAATGGTTAAATGTATGTTACACAATTAATTACACAAAACAAATTAGAAATAGCTTGGTAGCGATGACTTCATTCACAGGGGTTATTATCATCCATAAATTTCTTAATATTATAATAACCCTTTTCATAGAAACTTTGTTTAATAAATTTTTTGAACTTTGAGCAGGTCAAATTTTGTATATTTTCTGGAATTTTCATAAATGTTTTAAGAGGTCAAAGTTAATATATTAATTTTCTTACATTTTTGTAGCAGCGACTCTTTAGGCTTTAAATCAGAAATTGCTCTTATTTCCCTCTTCTGTAAAACAAATATAATTTCAGTGTCAGCCGCGTGTCCCCATAGCAAAATACCATACGACATTATGCTATGAAAATAGCTAAAGTAAACTAATCTACCTGTTTCAACACTGGTAAGATTTCTAATCTTTTTTACAGCATATGCTGCAGAAATAAGTTTGCTTGCTAATTTTGATATATGGGGGCTCCATTGAATGTTCGCGTCTAGTGTTATTCCAAGAAAAATGGTGGTATCGACAAGACTCTGTTCCTTCCCATTTATTATTACATTATTATTTAAATGTTTAATATTTGGAGTCATGAATTTCATACATTTAGTTTTAGGTAAGTTATTAATATAAACAAGAAACAGAAAGAGGCCGAGAATTGAGCCTTAAGGCACGCTCATTTATACTATCAACCCGGAAGAGCTAGTACTATTAATGACAACTTTTTACGTTGTGTTACAAAATATATAATAATTTAAGAGCATTACTTCTTACACCGTAATGTCGTAGTTTCTTGATTAATGTTTCATGGTGAACACAATCGAAGGCTTTGGATCGGTCAAAGAATATATACAAAGCATTCTATGATTTCTCCCAAGCATTGAAAATATATTTAATCAGCTCAACACCAGCATCAGTTGTCGAGCTATTTTTATAAAATAAATTATTTACATTACAAAAAATTAACATTTGATCAAGAATAATTTTTTCAAAAATTTTACTAGTGTTGGCAGTGTAATAATTGTATTGTACTATCAGATTTAAATAAAGGTATTACTTTACTATGCTTCATTAAATCAGGATGCCTCGTTTGAAGGCAAAACAAGTGTCGTATTATCGACGCTAGTGAGTCTTTCTTAGTGTAGTGATAATGGGAATAGTGGTGCTGGGATTAACGGTGACGGGGATAGTGGCAGATAGCAGCGGCAATTGGGTGAGGGCGGGAGGTGCACATCATTTTATTTTATTACGTGTATCTTAGCTAATTGCTTTTTAAATCTTTAATATAATGGATTTCCCAAAGTAATGCCTGATTCTATTAGCTATCGACAGTGACCACTTACCATCAGATGCCGTACACTTGTTGCCTCCTCTTCCATAAAAAATTTTTCAAATAAATCCACAATAGCTACTATTGAAATTAGAAGCCAAAATCAATGCGAAAATTTAGAATAGAATATCACAATCACAACACAAATAGCGCGTGTGTATGCGTATGCACGTAACTTGCTTCGGCGTGTTTACACAGGCCGGACTGTATTCAGTGTAGTGGTA